ATGCCTCAGTTACTTCTTGGTAGACGTCCTGAACTTGGTGTCCTCACAGAGTTCATACCTTACTGAGTTCCTTCAGTTGGTTTTCTCAGTTGGTGTCCTTATGGTTTTCTGAAGTGTTTTGCCCCCCCCGCAAGTCGCATCGGATCTGAGGCCCGTGTGTCGCTGGGGTGGCTGAAAGCCTGGCTCGCTTACCAAAGTAGTCATTAGCCAGGTGTTCTGAGAACCCTCTTAAGCCCCAACACAAGACGGTTTGACGAGGCAAAAAGGAGTGCAAGTTTGGAGATCCCTGCTGGTTTGGGACTGGCTTACAATAAAGAGCAATAAAGTTTACAAGAGTGTTAACTGGGGTCCTATGTAGCCACTAGCTAACTTGTTGGACCAAAGTACCGAGTACCTGGCTGATTTTCCGGGACGGAAATCAATCCCTGTGGAATTGGGGGAGGATATGTTCGCCATGTTGAACGTTTGTTTCTGGGCTGTCATTGAACTCTTAGGCGCTTCCAGTGCAGGCAATGTATGCGCGACTGGCTCAAGACCCTCGGTCAGAGGTCAGAGCTGGTGCTCAAGCATTGGGATCACCAAGTCTTGGGGTTGCGGGCCATGACCCAAACCGCATGTGTTGTTTTCTTCTCCCTTAAAGAGCGTCTCACATCCGAACACAGGAGCATACACAAACCGCATGTGTTGAACTTTGGTGCACGATCAAGCCAGAAGCACGGCTAAACCGCCAGGCTGATGCGCTTCACTGGCGTCGCCATTGCCATTGTGGGTGTTTTCAGCTATGTGCCCTGGCGAAGCTCAGTGCTTCCAGTTGGAGCAGTCAGGGGGAAGCCATGATCTCTTGAAAGACGCCACACTTCACATGGCACACTGAGGCGCTCTGCAAGAACACAGAGGGTAGGGAGAAGTCATGAATTCATGTGTTGCTAAGTAACATTGAAGCGATCAAAATTGAAGCAATTCATAAGCACAATCCTTTTGGAATGGGCGTGCACTTCCATGTCAGTCTATATGGAAACCATGGCATCTGGAACCCTGCACCAATCATGCGCGCGGGTTTGCCACGACGCCACACTTCTCTTGGCACGCTGAGGCGCTCTGCAAGAACACGGAGGGTAGGGAGAAGAAGTCATGAATTCATATGTTGCAAAAAGCGGCTGACAATTCATAAGCAAGACTGAAGCCATCACTATGACTTATGGATTCAGAGGGGTGCAACATTGACGCATATTAGTGCGGCTTAATGCGGCTGAGTACGGATGGTTTTCGCGCGGAATAGGGCGGGTTGGCACGGCTTAGTGCCGATGTATGCAGTTCTTCGATTTGCCCACAGGATGAGGGACAGCTTGCCTAGGTCTTGTTGGGGCATCGGCTGGTCTCTCCCGGGGCCGGAGGCACCCTTGGGGAGCCATTGCTTCCACCTCGGGCATCTCCGCCAGCAGCAACTCCTCTTGCCATGGGTTTCTCTCTCTCTCTCTTTTTCCTTTTCTCTTTCCTCTCGTTTTTTCTCTTTCACTTTTTCTATTTTTCTCTTTTTTCCCCTATTTTGGGTTCTTTTTTTTCTCTTTATTTTTCTTATGTTTGTTTTCTCCTTTGCCTTTTTTTTTATCTTTTTCTTTTTCCCTCTGTCTTTTTCTTGTTCTCTTTTCTCTCTCTCTCTCTTTCTCTCTCTTTGTTTCCTTTCTCTTTGATTTTTTTGTTGGAATTGTCATTGATGGAATTAATGGGTTCTCTCTAATATATATTTTTCATAATTGCGAATATTATGGGAATATATATATATATATTGTATATTTTTGTAAATTGAATTTTAATTTAAATATATAATTATGGGGGTGATTATTGTTTTTTGTTAATTATATTTATATATAAATTATTATTTTGAATATTTGGATAATTATATTTGGTAATTTTAGTATTATTATTATGTTTTTATATTATTATATGTGGGTTTGATTGAATTGGGAAGGGAGATTTTTTTTAAATAGATATATATATATATAATTATTTGATTTGTTGTTTATTGATTTTTTATAGGAATTAAATTATTTGGGTATTTAAATAAATAATTAATGAATTTAAAATATATTATTATTGGAGATATATTTATATTTTATATTTCTATATATTAAATTATATTAATTTTTATTAATGTGATTGTTCGAATAAAATTATTGGAATTAGATAATTTAATATATTGAAAATTAATTAAGTATTTAATATTGATGTTATATAATGTTGTGTTAACCTTAGGGTTGTTTTGAATTATTTGGATTAAAATCTCAAATATAAAAATTAAAAATGAAATAATTATTTTAATATTTTTTTTTTTTGGTAATATATGATATTGAGACGAATTAAAAGGGGGGAGGGAGAAATTTATAAATTTATTATTATATTAAATTATTATATTAATTATACTATAATTATATATATAATTAGAATTAAGAAACATATTTTTGAATATTATAATTTAATACAATTTTAAATATTAAATAAAATACATTTATAGTTTATTAATTTACTTAATCTAAAAATATGCTTAATATAAGAATAAATTAAATTAATAATTATTATAATTATGTGGGTGTGGGTTAATATTCTGGTGTGGAACGTTGCACGATAATAAAATCCCTTATTCCGGGTTTCTGGGAGATATATATGGAATTCTCAAATACATATTTATTTAAAATAAAATAGATGGATGGATGGATAAATAGATGGACAGGTGGATGGATGGATACAACGATTCGGGGACGCGCCGCCATCGTTGCCATCCATACATTATTAGGACACCGATATAATCACTCCCGCCAGCCGATACACAAGTGTAAGCCGATATCCCCCGATACGTAAGCTGATGCAGGGTATCCTTTAAAGATATCTTTGTTTCCAAAGCCCTAACACATATCGTCCTTACAGGAAGGTTTCTTGGGTGCCGGGCCATATAAGAAACTGCAACTATTTATATAGCATATATATATATATGGACTTAGTGGCAAATTGCTCCGTTTAGACATATCTAAAACGAGTCTGACTTGCATTTTAGAATGCTAGCAAACCATATATAATTATAATTATTTCACTCGAAAATAATATTAAACCATTACCAAATCATATCGAAAACGACGACATTATACCATATCGAACCGAACCAAATTTCCAATACACCGATATTCCTTTCTTTATTTCTTTCTCCTTTTTTCTTACTCCTCTATTCCTTCTTTCTTGTTTCATGCCATTTCAGCCTTAGCCATTACACCTAGACACCCAACAAAGAACAATTATCTAAATCAATATTCTAAAAATAAATATATATAAACAAAATTTAAAATAAAAAATCTAGAAACAAAATATATATAAAAAATCTAGAATAAACATTTAGAACGGAGATCTAAATCATATATAGCTTCCAAATCCTATTCCGGACCTTTCAAATTAATTAATATCCATATTATTCAACAATAAAATACATATACAACAATACTATATTCTTATAATATAATAATAAGCAAAATCAAAATATCCAATCAAACAAATAAAACAAAACAAATCAATAACAAAACCTTACAAAAACAAAAAATACAAAACACAAAACAAACCACCTCTTCCACAAAATTATACATAAAAAACAACATAAACAAATAAACACAAAATAATAATAACAAAAAACAACTTAAAATATAATAATTAACAACATAAAAACAAAAAAAAACATATACATAAACAAAACACAAACATATTCGAGCAACAACAAAAAACAAAAAAATATCAACAAACAAATAAAATACAAAGACAGAACTCAACAAAAAAGACAAAAAAACATAAACACATAAACAAACATAAAAAACAGGAAGAAATATAAAAGAAACACAGAAATATAACAAAGAAACAAATAACAAACAAAGAGGAAAAAAAAAAAACAAAGAAAAGAAAAGAAGAAAAACAAAAAAAAAAAAAAAGTTAAAAGAAAAAATACAAATTGTTCGAAATATTCTATTTTAAATAAATCCCCAATATTTCCCCGATAATTTCTTCGAAAAATCACTAACTATAGGCAGATATTAAGAAAAAACATCTAGAGTTTAAAAAACCGTATCGTACCCAATATTTAGTAAAATTTAACCAAATTATATCATAAAAATTCTAAACAAAAATCTAAAAACCCTCGAACCCACAAAAAAAAGAGTAAAACAAATATAATCGCTCGCCACAAACACGCTTCGACCAATACTACAACGACTTTATGGTATATAAGAAATATAACCTAAAAGCTATACCAATTTATAAACGAATTTATTCTTTTTAATATATATATTATAAATATAAATCAAAAACATAAATAACATAATTATATTTCATATTCCTCTTTCTTGTTTTATATCTAACTCATTATTTATAAATCACTAACATATAATATTTGTTAAAACATAAAATATTTATTTATTTAAACTATATTTTTATTAATTACAACAAAAACATCAACAAATAACAATCATAATAAAGCTAAATAAACAAACAACACAACAACAAAAATCTTTGTAAACTATTAAATATAAATCACTCCCTGTAAAATTTAATATTTTTTCCTTAATCATAAGTTCTTATTACATTATAGTATTATTTAATACTTTATTGGATCAACTCCATGAAGTCCAGCAGTGCGACAGCTCTTTGGGGATTTGCGCCGGCTCTGTTGCACGATGTTGAAATGTGTGTGGAATTATGTATGGAATGCTGTGTAGGTTACCCACGTTTCATCAAGCAGTCGATCCTCCCGCCTCCCATCCCTCAGTGGCATCGATTGCGTGACGCCTGGCGCAGAAACGCATCTGCAATTGAGGCAAGTTCTGGCTTGACATGGCTGGTCAAAATTAAACCACCATGGGACCACAGGTTTGATCCATGTCTCCATTTACCAGGGTTCCCATTTTGGTTACATATTTTTGACCCACTGCCACATGATCATCGCTGTACAGCAGAAGCAGCAGGCCAGTTTTCTCGCTTGTGGCGTTTTGGCCACGTCCAGTCAATGCCATCCACAAAATTGGGCTCGCTAGTCACTCTGTTCGCCCAATTTGGCACTGCTGGGGCCGCGGAAAAAGGAGCTGCTGGGCGACATGCTGGGAGAGTGGGAGGGGGTCTTGTCGCGTGTGGTGCACACAAACTCCAACTTGCTGCTCCAAAGAAAGTCATGCAGCATGCGGAACCGGACCAAGGTTTCCCTCACCGGATTGTAAATCAGGGGCACCAGGAGACTACTCATGATCCAGCCGAGCCACCGTGGACGATAGCGGGAGGCCAGAAGGGAAGCCGCGTATCGAGAGGCCAGCGGAATCACATAAATCACAAGGGCAAAGACGGGCCACTTCACTTCCACCTCGAAGATGTTGACCGCAATCAACGGATTGACCTCCGTGGCGCGAGCCTTCATCACCCAAATGCCGGCCCACTGGGCAAGGATGAAAGGGAACCCTTGGAAGGGTCTTGAAATCCATTCCATGTAAACGAGGTAAATCTTGAGAAAGGGCGACATGTGCTGGGAGCGGACCGCCCAAGAAAGTGCTCTTAGCTTTTGCATTTGCCCATTCATCCAGCGAGTCCTCTGGCTGATCACATTACCAAAGTCCGGCGGTTCACGTTCCTGGCAAAGGATGTTGATGTCGGAGACACCTGGGTGAGTCTCAAAACGGTGGAGCTCCTTGTTGACTTTTAAAGGGAAACAAAAGGGAACTAAGCAGTCTTAGGGCGCTCGAAGAACCCCCACCTGTAAAGCCATAGTAGGCCTTCGCGCGGAACATAGCATCATGATCTTCCGCAATGGTGCGATGGTCAAAGCCAATCATCTTGATGGCATCGCTTCGCCAAAACGATCCTCGACCATTGCAGAAAGGAAGCTGCATATGCCCGTAGACGGACTCGTTTAGCGAGGGGAGTACACCATCGTGACCAGTGACCACTGCCCCAAAGGGAAAGCAACCAGCTTCTTGAATGCCAGAGAAATCTTCCCAGCAGTGCACCTGCAGCTTCCCCCGCCCCCCAAAGCTTTACCTTCGGGGTTGGGGTGCCCCTTGTGAGTTTCAACTTAAACTAAAGCCAAGACAAAGTCAAGCGCTTGATGCTATAGAGCAGGTGCAAGATATGACTGCACAGCGCTATGGTTCTCTTCGAACAAATGTAGAGAAGCGCGGCACATACTTGCGGCGGAAACCATGGTGTCGACATCATTGAAGAGAGCAAAGTCTGTCTCCAGCAGGCTGATTGCCATATTCAGGTTGTCACATTTTGATGTTGACATGTGATTTCGGTGCACCGAAAATGCCGGCCACGACTCCTGCAATTCCTCCAGTTGCTGCTCAATCCATGTATGCTCTTGGGGGGAGTTCCAAACGAGCATCACACGCATGATTCCCGGATATTTGGCCTCTTCTCTGCGATATGCATCCAAGCACTCCAAAACAATGTCTTCCTCATTCGGCATGTATGCAGGAACAACCACTGTGATGGAACGGCACTTGTGCGTCTGAAGTCGCGTTTTGAGAACAGACTCTCGTGTCAATTCATCCTCCAACATTGGTACATCATATGGACCCGTCCTGTAAGCCCTCAGAAGAGTCTCTTGGTCACACCACTGTTTCACTAGCACATACGTAGCGTGCAAATGCGTAAAGCAGAACGGGAAGAGCGCCACCATCTGCAAAAGCATTGCCGCTCGAACCAGTTGTTTGAATGTGTCGTCGCTGACCTGCTCCATGTCCTCCTCTGGCCGACTGGTGCACATGTACAAAAAACAAGCCCACACCATCTGATCTGCGACGCAGAAAAAGGCCGTAATCAGCCAGCGAAGATATTTGGACTGTACCCAATCAGCATACGGTCCTAGCCAGCCAAATGCTGGCCGATCAAAATCCATCTTCTTGGGCTCATAGGGCGGCACGCGCACCTCGTTGTCAACAAAAAGCTCAGCCACCACTCCCACCGACGAGACCTGACACAAAAGCACGCTGCACTCGTGGCCAACAATGCATTCGGTTCATCGGTGTACGCAGCTCGTCTTATGTCGCTGCTTGGTTGCAATGTTTCGACAGAGCCTTGCCTCTAGTATTTACGCGGCTGCGTGGCAGTCCTTGCAGCTGTTGCTGGGATTTGCTGTACTTCGACCTGTTTTGGCTATTGGCAGCTTTTGTGCGAAGCTTCGAACCTTTAGCTTAGCTGTGCTTATGTATGGATTCAAATCGCCTTCCGACAACTCTTTGGCGTGGGTTGCACGACTGTCCCAAGACCCTGGAAGCCCTCACATGCGTTTGGAACAGCGATTGCATACATTGTCCGCCTGCTCATGTCTCATCTTACGAAAACCAAAAGGCTTGGCTGGAATCATTGTAGGTGTTGTGAAGCTTGGTTCACGTGGGATGGCGGGGAAAAAGGTTTAAACAAACGCCACACGACAGGCCGAAAGAAACGCCTCGGCGGCCTTAGATGCAATAAACTCACATGCTAACGACTCCTCCTAAACGAATTTACTGGCAACTTGGACTTCGAATGGTTAAGCAACGTGTGTTCCGAGGGTTTACACATGGACTTGAGGCATTTCTCCAATTACGGAGGTTTAAACAGGGTCCCTTTGCTTGGTCCAACACCTTCAGCATTTCAATCAAAGCTGTGCCTTCAGAAAGTCTGCAAGTGGTTTCAACCCTTCGTGCACTTCCAATAAAACCTGCCATCTTCAGAATTCTGAGCATATTGGTTCAACGACTCAGGCTCGGACCAGCAGCAGCAAAAGCATGGAAACAATGAATACGCCAGGGTTGAGATAGATGGTGCGGCGAATGAGAAAGAAGCGAATGGACTGCAGAACTTGCCATGCGGTGATGATATGCCGCTGATCATCCCAGCGAGCAAATAGCAAGAAAAACATCGAACCCACAAGAGTCTCCATCACGAGGCTCAAGAGCGCGTGTGGAGACTCCAGGACCCCCTCCTGCCGGCGAAGAAGCAAGAGAATGAACACAACATTCAATAGAACGTCCACCAGGCATATGGAAGTCACTAGCCACGGCCATGAGACTTTTGCTCGAGGAGGAAGTAGCCCAACGGTGGCGGTAGAATCTGGCACCTGCAGGCAGCCTATAACCCGACAATTCCAACATACATAAAGGAGTCTTACTAGCTGCTCAATACCATGAGTCGCCCAAAGGACCCAGAAATAAAGCTCAACCTTTTGGGCCACGACGGACCAACCACGGGAAATCAAAAGGTCAAAAGGTCATTCCCTGGGTGTCCGGAGGATCCCTGAAAAGAATGGGGAAGGTACGCCTAGAATGTGTGGAAGTTTGCCAGTCCTGCCTTCGCGGCACTGGCAACATTGGATTTCCCGCTTGATAGCGGCCACCCAAGCGCCTGCGCTATGGTTCCTCCTGCAGCCAACAGGAGGAAAAGAAACGGGGCCAGCAGACCTCGGTTGCTTTCCGCTCCCCTGTCATTTTTTAGTAGTTTAGTTCGGAAAACCCTTTGGCTGGCAAAAAGTTTTATAGTCGTAACATCCCTCTGCAAAATGCAGCAAAAAGACTGGCTGAGACCACAAGCACGGCTGTACTCACCAGGACCCGAACCAACAAACTGCTTGAAGTTGTTGTCGCCGGAGCTGGATCGATACGTTGCACCAAATTATCCACATCCGTCCATCGAATCAGGCCACCAAAGTCAGACCACGGCGCTTGGTTTTTCTTCAGTGCCTGCCCTGATGAACGAACTTCCTTCGCGGAGGATTGAAGCAAAGCCACACCTCCGTAGCAGGACTCTTCATAAGTCCGGCATTCCGCTGACGCCAGCACCAGTGTGATCAACAGTCGCCAAAACATCAGCTCAACTAGATATGGAAACACTATGGACACTGATTGAACACTCCTCTCTAATGGGGTTCCTCGAGAGAAGCTGGCGGAAGCAGCAAGCCAGCTAATTCCAAGGCATGTGCGAGGCAAGACACAGGCCTTAGCAATGATCTGCAATGCCCCAATGCAATGCCAGGGAATTCCATGAGCTTGTTCTATTTGGCCCTGGACTTTGTCAAAACCAAATCATGTCGGTGTGGGCCCCGTCCAAATCTCAAGAAGGTAACTGTTTTGATTCACTCGACAAGAACCATAGGTGTTTTCTCTTGGGAAAATAGATGGGCTTCCTGGTAGATGATGAAACGGCCGACACAACCGAAAAGGACACCTATCACAAGAACTTTTGGATCTGTTGAATCTGCATGTTTTCGCTGTCATCTTAGACTTCGGGCCCCCTTTGGCTTGAAGTCCGAAATGGGTCAAGGCTCGCGCTTATGTGCCACTATGGGTGGCTCGTCTGTTCTTGAGGCTACCCATTTGTTTGAAGTTCTTTACAGAGAAACCAACAGCAACATCATAAAGCGGTTCCAGGTGGTCACTCTGGTGCAACACGTTCCGCAAGAGACTCCCTCCAAAAGGGTTTCCAAGTAGTGTCCCCCAAAAAAAACGTCTCTAAGTCGAGCCAAATAGTGCCTTTACCGTCCTTGCCTTTCCGACGCTTTTGGACTTGGGAAAGTGACCTTGTTTTGCCGAGCCAACAGGATAGTTTTTGTGATCAAAAGCAACATGCACGATAAGTCATGTAAATACCAGCCAATGCACACGATGGTCTCTGCATGTCTCTGCACTCTTGAGGATCCTCAAGCAAATCTTGAGCCGAATCAACCCGTTGTCGGCCTCAAACCACTTAGAGGGATGCAAACGAAGCGGCTATGAGCCACAAAATCAAGCTCCGTGCCGTCTCACGCACATCGGCGTGAGAACATATGAATCCTTTGCAAAAACCGGTAGGCCTTCCGATTCGGCGCTTCACGTCCCGCCTTAGCCTCCACGAGCGTCGGGAAACCCCCGCCTTCAGCTTCGGGACGCCGCGGCATCCTTCCGTCGGCTCGCTGGCCTTCCGTGAAAACCGCGCTGGCGAAAATCGCTCAGTCCACCTTCGTGTGATTTGGAAAGGCATCGGTTCCAATCAGTGCAACCCTCTGGCGATAGATCGCCCCCAAAAAGATAAGAAAAGGCACCAACTCTCAAGGTGGCAGGATTCGGATTTGCCGCTTGGGTTGTCAACGGCTGTGTTTTCAGGTTGGCTCAAAGGGAAGCCAAATCCGAAATCCATGTTGGGGGCCCCCCATCATACTTTGTGTTCGAATACCCGCAACACATGGGCTTCGGCGTTCCCTTGGATCTGGAAAATCACATCCCCAAACCGGGTGCTGGTGCCTGTCTTCACAACATGCCGTGTGTTTTTGAGGGGTTGGGGGGATGCAAGAGATTCCTGAAGGTGGTTGGGAAAAAACATGGCTTCTGTGTAGCCCTTGAAGAACCCAACAGGTTGGGTGCCAGGTCCTCCACTCCTAGTTATGAAGGCCTTGGACCATAAAACTTCTGGGCTTGTCCGAAGCTTTGGTGGGAAATCCCATGTCCCTCCCAACTTGACTACAAACGAATCGGGACTTTCACCTGCACAAGTCCAAACAGTTTGCTCGCCACATTGGAATGGTCCAAGCCCAAACCGTGACTAAAGTCCAGAAACTCAGGGAGTGAGTAAAAAATCACGCAGCCTCAAATTCCGGGATCCCATGTTGCTTTACCCGGCCGCACTGGGATGGTGACATCCAATGAGTCCACTATTGGCGGGGCGGTCAACTTTTGGTGGGGGTGACTTTTCGGGGTTGTCCACCTCTGGTATCGCAATCGAAACATGTCAAGAGAGCCTACCCGAATCGATTCCATGGTAAATTCAAGGGCGAAAGGCCAAATTCGTTGCTGCTGTTGACCCCTCTTCAAAAAGTTCAACTTTTTGCGGGTGCAATGGACAAGCCAAATGTTTCCTAAAAAGTCAAAGTCCGAAGATCCAACCAAATAGTTCTAATGGCAATGTAACGCTGATCTTCCCGAGCTCGGCTCAGGGCCTTTGTGGACGGCCGTCTTGGGCTCCGGTCGACCCAAAGAAAGACAAGGGTCAGCCAAAATCACTTGGTGAGGTCCCTTACTTTTGAGCTGCAAAGGGAAACCAAAAGGAAAACCGCCTATATTGGGGTCACCCTATTTGACACATATGTGAGTAGCGTTGGCTTTTTTTCCCCCCGGTGTATCGGTGCTATACACTGGCAGCCATGCCTACGCAAAGCCAGGGTGTGTAAAACCATGAAAGGGTGCCAACGCTAGCGCCAAGGCGGAACGCCTGCGCAGACTTTTCTCCGGTACTACTCTTAGGTTTGTGTAAGGCAAAACTTGCCTGCGCGCACCTGCGCCGGATTTTTCTTGAACATCCCATGAATGTGAGCCACAATCAAAACCCGGGTAGATGAAGGTTAGTAAGGGGCAGTCCCCAGCCAGACATAGTTGCGGCCGCCTTCAAAATTATTTGCATGGTTCTGGGTAGACCATTTGAGTACCGGGTTTTGCTTGTCGCTCATGTGTTCCTACAACTATTCCCGGCTAACAAAGACATTCAGCACCTTCATTGCTCAAGGGATCCTAGCGTAAGCACATCCTGCCAACATCCCCGCCAGCCATGGCGAAGCTGCACGCGTCATGGCCGGATGGCAATCAGGAGGTGCAAAAGAGTTCGTTGTGCTATCTAGACTGCTATTGGGTTGGATCTTCGGACTTTAGCTTTTTGTCAAATCAAGGGGTTTTCCACTAACCCCGCCAAAAAGGTAAACTTTTTGCAGGGGGGTCAACAGCAACCAAGCTATGTATTCGCTTCATTCTGTGTACGGCGTGTAGGCATTTTGGGAGGCAACTTATTACTGCTACTCTAGCCCAATGCTTCAATGATCAAAAAAAATCTCCCACAAGTCAGGCGGGGTGTGTAGTGAGTGCACGTAGCTTGAGCATGAGACTGAACACACACTGCGCATGTACAAATATTAACGCACACACACAAACACGAGAGCCTGAAGGGCCTGAAGGGCCCTTCAGGCGGCACAAAAAGAAAGGGGTCAATCCGTCACGCAAAGAGTCAAGCCAAGCAACCCGGGGTTGCACATACCAAGCTCTCTCTCTCTCTCTCAAAGCTGTTGCCGGGTGAAAAAAAACAAGAACGGTTTCTTGCCGTTCGCCGTTCGTTGATGCCTGTAAACACTAAACATGTGCTTTCGTGATATGCAAGCCTAGGTGTCCTTCTGGACAAACCGATGGCAATGGACAAAAATAAACCCAACAGAAAGCAAGGGGATCGATCCGTGTCCAATCAAACTGACCTATGGACACCTCTGATGCCGGCACTCGCTCCGGTCCAATTTGTCTCTGTCCGCATATCTAACTTACAACCCCGCGGCTGCGCGGTTGACTGCACAAGGGCGCCAGTGGACTTTGAGAAGCTTCTCAGTAGGCTTCTCAGTTGAACCCTGAACCACAAAGGACGAATGGCCCTGTCCAGTGTCCACATCCAAGAACCCAACAGGAACGTCTGATCACATTAGCCCAACCCCCATGTTTTTGGTGGGCAACTTGCAAACGTGGGGCACCTTTTGACACATCCCCACTCCACCTTGGAGAAAACCCTTCCCCGCGCGGAGACACGTCCGCTCAGGAGGCCATTGCGGAGACAAAGGAAGGCACCTCCTGCCACAAGCTCCGCTCGCGAGTTACACGTTGGGAGACACCGCTGGCCTTCTGCCCTCGCGAGGCGTCTTGAAACCTGAAACACATCCCATGGCTCGTCTTGGCTTGGGGACACTGCTGATCGACCCAGTGGAAACTCTAAAATATACCTTTCCGCATATCTATATCTATATATAGTTAGTAGCTAATCGTAGGAAGCCAGCTTTTGACAACAAAAGATAAACCCAAAGACTGCCGGCTATGAGATAAAGTTAGTAAGGTCAAGGAAGTCGATCTCAACACACGCAACCGGTGCGATGCAAACCGGCCACGTTCGTGGAGGCGATCAACTCGTCGCGACCCAGGCGTTCAGAGCTACGTCGAGGTGAGCGCGGGCGAGCGCTTGCAGCTGACGGCTCCGCGCCGAGCCGCGGGCGCGATCGCTGAGTTGGATCCGCAGAGAGCGACTCGACAGGTTGCCAGACTTCCCGTCTGAAGAGCAGAAGGTTGAATCAACCCTAGCACCTCCAGTTTCCGCGGTGGGAGACAACATCCAGCAGGGATGGAAGAACCTTATGAATACTTTCGGGATATACTAGCTACCAACTGGAGCAACATTTGCTTGGTTGTCCATAGGCAATCAGGAAGCCATGATGCAAACTCATGATACCACGTCATTGCCTCCTTGGCCTTAGTTGCGTACACCACCTTCTCAATCAATCATGAGCCTTACTAGAGCCTTCTCCCGAAAAGGACAAAAGGCAGCGGGACCCAAAAGGCCCAAAAGACCCGTCCAACTCGACGCAGGGAAACTCGTCCTTGTCACCGGCCCCCTTCAACTTCTCAGGGGTCAGCACCTTGTCAATGAGCCCGTACCTCGAGCAAAACAAGCCGACAGGTTTGATTGGGTGCCGATTCAAGACAGGCTTGGAGCAAGCGGCTCTTCACACATATTGAGATGTCACCACAGCTTTGACCCGGGTGAGGATTTCGCATTGCTAGGAGCATGTTCCTTGGGAGATACAACTCCGCAACGGCTTCTATATAAGCGTTTCTAAGGTCAAACAAGGTTGCAGCTCTTCTGGAAAAACAAAGGGCTCAAACAAAGGGGCCGCCTGTTGGAACCCTGACCGAAACCAAAGGACTTCTGCGGTCCCTTGGCTCCCTTCCGTGGATAGGCCAACAAAAAGCAACCACATTTGTTTGCCACACTAGTTCAGAACCAAGTGGCCTTTAGTCCGGTTGAACTAGTGAGCTAGGTTTTCCCAAGGGGCCCGAAGTTTGAAAGGGTGCCCGCTCCAACCCAATTGAACCATATGCAAAGCCGAATTCGATTGGGGCGATGGCAAATTCAAGCACACTGCGAGTAAAGCAGCCAAGAGCAAAACTGAGCAGCACCTACATGACTTGAACGCCAACCATAAAAAACAAAAAAAAACAAGTGCAACATATACCAACTGAACCATGGATCGAAAGTATACCGAGCACAAAAGGCATCGTTTGCACTGCTGCAGATTGATATGGAAGCATGTCACTGTGAAAGGGGGGGGTCCATGATAACAAGGTTGTTAAACATAATCTTAACTGTCCAAGTGGCCGGTGTCAGTTGACAGGAACATATCAATTTGTCAGGGAAGTACATGTGACCCGTCTGCAAGCTCAGGAATTCGCTGCACTGCTTCATCCGGCTGCATGTAGTAGCAACGGTTGGTGTCCTCTCAGTCAGCGAAATGAATCTATCTTATTGATGGATCCACCCAAAGAAGGTTTGCTTTTGGCTTCCCTTAAAGCAGCTTAAAGCGAGTCTGCTTTTGGCTTCCCTTAGCAGGCCACCCTGACCGCCCCCCCCGCTTGGAATTGCCAACCGCTCGCCACGTTCCCCAATTTCCATCGAAATCATTTTTGTCGCTCATCAATGCCAAACTGAACACTTCCACGGACTCAGTTGCCCAAAGGATCTGGGACTAAAAGGTTAACTTTTTGGGGCCATGACGAAATATGGGCCAAAACAGGAAAACCAAAAGGTCAAAAGGTTGGCTTTGGGCAACTGAGCGGAACAAGAAGGCATGAATTTCAAGGGGGGCCGTGTAGTGTCACCAGTGGAAAAATGCGGAAGCCTCAAACAAATCCCAGAATGGACGAATATATTTACCTAAACAGCGGAATCTGCTCTAATACATCTGGAAAAGGGGACCAAACCGTGCATTTCAGCTTTTTGCAAGGTCCCTTCAGCTTGGGGGAAAACAAGAAAGCGGGGAAATCGCAAAAAAACGCGGTCCTCTACGACCTGCTCCTTGGTCTTGCCTGTGGCGCAGGAGAGCAGCTCCGCCATGGTGGAGCGGTTTTGCAAGACCTGGCCCGGGCTGCAGAAGGACGGAAGAACCCCAACAAGCTCTTCGCTGCGGAGAGACTTGGCCATGGGTCAAAATCTAAATCCTACCCCCAGTGAACATCCCAATCCCCACTAAAATAGGTTCTAAAATGGGTGGTGCACCTACCCTGAAAGATTTGTTTCACCCAGACGCTCCAGATCAATTCAGGGCCCTCCAAACAGCCAGGTTTTGAGACCCCAAACAATCCCGGGGTGTCTAATGGAGGGGTCGGGTCTTCCATGGAAAGCGCCAGGAGCTTCTGGGTTTCAAGGAGCTTCTGGGTTTCAAGGAAAGCCAATGCTTTCTGACATGGGTCAACTTGCGTTGGTGTTTGGACAAAGGCTCCCGTAAACAAACTTCTAAGTGAGCACTGCCTAAGACCAATTAACTTTGGGTCTACTAAGATGCTCACAAAGGTTTACACATTCGCGAGATTTCGTCGAGCCGAGGCTACCTTTCGTGGCCTGGAATGGGGGGGGGTGGTTGGGCGCTTGGCAAAGCTGAAATGGTAAATACATGAGCGCCCAAGACCAATTCATTGGGTGTGCTTGTTTTGGTGGCTACCCCCCGAAAAATAAAAACATGGTGTTCCAATGCGCTCCAAAAAGAACAGCTAAAACCACCTTGTGTTACTTTGTGTTCTAGGTACCCCGCCCCCCCCCCCGGAAAAACAATGAAAAAAGGTGTTGTTCCTTTGCAATTAATCTAGCGGTGAATTTCCCCATTCTATTCAGCCATCGTTCTTTTCAAAAACCAGCCATTCCCCCAGGGTTTTGGGTGGTTTTCAAGAAAGAGGATCCCTGGGTTCAGAATGGAAATGGAAGCTACCCCTAGAATTAAACCCAAAACCACCCGAAAAGCGAAAAGGGGGGGGGGAGAGCCGCAACCCAAAACCCAACAACGAGTCGCCCGGCCTCCCGCGCCAGGATGCGGATGTCTGAGGCTTGGCGCGGGCCCCGGGCCGGGGGCTCCCGCGGCTCTGAGAGCCTCGGAGTCACGAAAGTCCCCGGCTGCCCCGACGGCTTCTCCATGGCTCCATTTTGTTGTTGTTGAATACATAAATATATATATATATATATATCTTGAAAAAAAACTAAGGGACCCCCAAAGATTCGTGGTCTTGCTCCATGTGATGAGTATCTTGTCTATATTTTTCTACGGGACCACCAAAGATTCGTGGTCTTGCTCCATGTGTTTATCTGTTGAATTTTTCCAAGGGACCCCCAAAGATTCGTGGTCTTGCTCCATGTGTTTTCTTTTCTATGTGTATATTTTTCTAAGGGACTCCCAAACAATCGTGGTCTTGCTCCATGTGTTTATCTTTTTGATGTTTTTCTACCGGACCCCCCAAAGATTCGTGGTCTTGCTCCATGTGTTCATCTTGTTGTATTTTTCTATAAGGGACCCCCAAAGATTCGTGGTGTTGCTGCATGTGTTTTTCTACATTTTTCTAAGGGACCCCCAAAAGATTCGTGGTCTTGCTCCATGTGTCTATCTTTCTTGTATTTTTCTACTGGACCCCCAAAGATTCGTGGTCTTGCTCCACGTGCTTATCTTCCTTGTATTTTTCTAAGGGCACGCCAAAGATTCGTGGTCTTGCTCAATGTGTTTATCTTTTTTGCATTCTTCTACTGGACCCCCAAAGATGCGTGGTCTTGCTCCATGTGTCCATCTTTTTGTTTGTATTTTTCTACTGGACCCCCGACCCCCAAAGATTCGTGGTCTTGCTCCATGTGTTTATCTTTTTACACATTTTCGATTGGATCCCCAAAGATTCGTGGTCTTGCTCTATGTGTTTATCTTTTTTATTTTCCTACTGGACCCCCAAAGATTCGTGGCATCGCTCCATTTGTTTATCTTTGTTCAATTTTTCCATTGGACCCTCAAAGATTCGTGGTCTTGCTCCATGTGTCTATCTTTTTGAATTTTTCTACTGGACCCCCAAAGATTCTTGGTCTTGCTCCATGTGTTGATATTTATTGCATTCTTCTTTTGGACCCCCAAAGATTCGTGGTTGCTCCATGAGTTATCTTTTGTATCTGTTTCTTTTGGACCCCCAAAGATTCGTGGCCTTGCTCCATGTGTTTATCTTTTTCATATTTTTCTATCGGACCCCCCAAAGATGCGTGGTCTTGCTCCATGTGTCTATTTTTTTGTAATTTTCTATCGGACCCCCAAAGATTCGTGGTCTTGCTCCATGTGTTTATCTTTTCTGTATTTTCTACTGGACCCCCAAAGATGCGTGGTCTTGCTCCATGTGTCTATTTTTTGTATTTTTTCTAACGGACCCCCAAAGATTCGTGGTCTTGCTCCATGTGTTTATCTTTGTTGTATTTTTGTAAGGGACCCCACAAGATTCGTGGCCTTGCTCCATGTGTTTATTATTCTATTTTTCTACTGGACCCCCAAAGATTCGTGGTCTTGCTCCATGTGTCTATCTTTTTAGTAATTTTCTGCTGGACCCCCAAAAAGTCGTGGTCTTGCTCCATGTGTTGATCTTCTCTGGATTTTCTACTGGACCCCCAAAGATTCGTGGTCTTGCTCCATGTGTCTATTTGTTGATTTTTTCTATCGGACCCCCAAAGATTCGTGGTCTTGCAACATGTGTTTATCTTTTCTATATTTTTCTAGGGGACCACCAAAGATTCGTGGTCTTGCTCCATGTGTTATTCCATGTATTTTTTTTACTGGACCCCCAAAGATTCGTGGTCTTGCTCCATGTGTCTACCTTTTTTTATATTTTTCTATGGTACCCCCAAAGATTCGTGGTCTTGCTCCATGTGTCTATCTTTTTTGTAATTTTCTGCTGGACCCCCAAAAAGTCGTGGTCTTGCTGCATGTGTTGATCTTCTCTGTATTTTCTACTGGACCCCCAAAGATTTGTGGTCTTGCTCCATGTGTTGATCTTTATTGTATTTTTCTTACGGACCCCCAAAGATTCGTGGTTGCTCCATGTGTTATCTTTTGTATATGTTTCTTTTGGACCCTCAAAGATTCGTGGCCTTGCTCCATGTGTTTATCTTTCCTATATTTTTCTTACGGACCCCCAAAGCTTCGTGGTCTTGCTCCATGTGTTTATTTCTTGTATATTTTTCTACGGGACCCCCAAAGGTTCGTGGTCTTGCTCCATGTGTTTATCCTTTCGATATTTTGCTACCGGACCCCCCAAAGATGCGTGGTCTTGCTCCATGTGTTTATTTTTTTGTAGTTTTCTATCGGACCCCCAAAGATTCGTGGTCTTGCTCCGTGTGTTTATCTTTTCTGTATTTTCTACTGGACCCTCAAAGATGCGTGGTCTTGCTCCATGTGTCTATTTTTTTGTATTTTTTCTTTTGGACCCCCAAAGATTCGTGGTCTTGCTCCATGTGTTTTATCTTTGTTGTATTTGTGTAAGGGACCCCACAAGATTCGTGGCCTTGCTCCATGTGTTTATCTTTTATTTTTCTACTGGACCTCCAAAGATTCGTGGTCTTGCTCCATGTGTCTATCTTTTTAGTATTTTTCTGCTGGACCCCCAAAAAGTCGTGGTCTTGCTCCATGTGTTGATCTTCTCTGTATTTTCTACTGGACCCCCAAAGATTCGTGGTCTTGCTCCATGTGTCTATTTTTTGAATCTTTTCTAAGGGACCCCCAAAGATTCGTGGTCTTGCTCCATGTGTTTATCTTTTGAATATTTTTCCAGGGGACCACCAAAGATTCGTGGTCTTGCTCCATGTGTTATTAAATTTAGTTTTTCTACTGGACCCCCAAAGATTCGTGGTCTTGCTCCATGTGTTTACCTTTTTTATATTTTTCTATGGGACCGCCAAAGATTCGTGGTCTTGCTCCATGTGTTTCTGCTTTTATAATATTTCTTATGGACCCCCAAAGATTCGTGGTCTTGCTCCATGTGTTTCTCTGTTTTTGTAATTTTCTATCGGATCACCAAAGATTCGTGGTCTTGCCCCATGTGTTTATCTTTATTGCAATTTTCTACTGGACCCCAAAAGATTCGTGGTCTTTCTCCATGTGCTGAATTTGGTATTTTTCCAAGGGACCCCCCCAAACATTCGTGGTCTTGCTAACTGTTTTTTGTATTTTTCTAAGCGACCCCCAAAGATTCGTGGTCTTGCCCCATGTGTTTATGTGTATTGTATTTTTCTACCGGACCCCCAAAGATTCGTGGTCTTGCTCCATGCAACTATCTTTTTGAATTTTTCTACTGGACCCCCAAAGATTCGTGGTCTTGCCCCATGTGTTTATCTTTATTGTATTTTTCTGCTGGACCTTTAAAGATGCGTGGTCTTGCTCCATGTGTTTATCTGTTTTTGTAATTTTCTACCGGACCCCCAAAGATTGGGGGTCTTGCTCCATGTGTTTATCTTTTCTGATTTTTCTTACGGACCCCCAAAGATGCGTGGTCTTGCTCCATGTGTTTATTTTTTGTATTTTTCTTACGGACCCCGAAAGATGCGTGGTCTTGCTCCATGTGTTTATCTTTTTTGTATTTTTCTAAGGGACCCCCAAAGATTCGTGGTCTTGCTCCATGTGTTTCTCTTTTTAAAATATTTCTTATGGACCCCCAAAGATTCGTGGTCTTGCTCCATGTGTTTCTCTGTTTTTGTAATTTTCTATCGGATCACCAAAGATTCGTGGTCTTGCTCCATGCAACTATCCTTTTGTATTTTTCTACTGGACCCCCAAAGATTCGTGGTCTTGCCCCATGTGTTTATCTTTATTGCAATTTTCTACTGGACCCCCAAAGATTCGTGGTCTTTCTCCATGTGCTGATTTTGGTATTTTTCCAAGGGGCCCCCCCAAACATTCGTGGTCTTGCTAACTGTTTTTTGTATTTTTCTAAGCGACCCCCAAAGATTCGTGGTCTTGCCCCATGTGTTTATGTGTATTGTATTTTTCTACCGGACCCCCAAAGATTCGTGGTCTTGCTCCATGCAACTATCTTTTTGAATTTTTCTACTGGACCCCCAAAGATTCGTGGTCTTGCCCCATGTGTTTATCTTTATTGCATTTTTCTGCTGGACCTTTAAAGATGCGTGGTCTTGCTCCATGTGTTTATCTGTTTTTGTAATTTTCTACCGGACCCCCAAAGATTGGGGGTCTTGCTCCATGTGTTTATCTTTTCTGATTTTTCTTACGGACCCCCAAAGATGCGTGGTCTTGCTCCATGTGTTTACTTTTGTATTTTTCTTACGGACCCCCAAAGATGCGTGGTCTTGCTCCATGTGTTTATCTTTTTTGTATTTTTCTAAGGGACCCCCAAAGATTCGTGGTCTTGCTCCATGTGCTTGTCTTTTTTGTATTTTTGTAAGGGACCCCCAAAGATTCGTGGTCTTGCTCCATGTGTTTATCTGTTTTGTATCTTGCTACTGGACCCCCAAAGATGCGCGGTCTTGCTCCATGTGTCTATCTTTCTGTTTGTATTTTTCTACAGGACACCCAACAATTCGTGGTCTTGCTCCATGTGATTGTCTTTTTACAAATTGTCTAAGGGATCCCCAAAGATTCGTGGTCTTGCTCCATGTGTTTATCTTCTTCATATGTTTCTATAGGACCCCCAAAGATTCCTGGTCTTGCTCCATGTGTCTATCTTTTTGGAATTTTCTACGGGACCCACAAAAATCCGTGGTCTTGCTGTTTATATTTCTTGTATTTTTCTGCTGGACCCCCAAAGATGCGTGGTCTTGCTCCATGTGTCTATCGTTTTTTGTATTTTTCTGCTGGACCCCCAAAGATTCGTGGTCTTGCTCCATGTGTTTATCTTTGCTCCATGTGATTATCTTGTTAATATTTTTCTAAGGGACCCCCAAAGATTCGTGGTTTTGCTCCATGTGTTTACCTGTTTGTATTTCTTTCTAAGGGACCCCCCAAAGATTCGTGGTCTTGCTGCATGTGTTTATCTGTTTTTTTCTTAATATATATATATATATATATTGTTCTAAGGGATTCCCAAAGATTCGTGGTCTTGCTCCATGTGTCTATGTTTTGTATTTTTCTAAGGGACCCCCAAAGATTCGTGGTCTTGCTGCATGTGTCTATTTCTTTGTATTTTGCTAAGGGACCCCCGAAGATTCGTGGTCTTGCTCCATGTGTCTACCTTTTTTATATCTGTCTTTCGGACCCGGAAAGATTCGTGGTCTTGCTCCATGTGTTGATCTTCATTGTGTTTTTCTACTGGACCCCCAAAGATTCGTGGTCTATATTTTTCTATCGGACCCCCAAGGATTCGTGGTCTTGCTCCATGTGTCTATCCTTTTTGTATTTTTCTATTGGACCCCCAAAGATTCGTGGTCTTGCTGCATGTGTCTATTTCTTTGTATTTTGCTAAGGGACCCCCGAAGATTCGTGGTCTTGCTCCATGTGTCTACCTTTTTTATATCTGTCTTTCGGACCCGGAAAGATTCGTGGTCTTGCTCCATGTGTTGATCTTCATTGTGTTTTTCTACTGGACCCCCAAAGATTCGTGGTCTTGCTCCATGTGTTTATCATTTGTATATTTTTCTATCGGACCCCCAAGGATTCGTGGTCTTGCTCCATGTGTCTATCCTTTTTGTATTTTTCTATTGGACCCCCAAAGATTCGTGGTCTTGCTGCATGTGTCTATTTCTTTGTATTTTGCTAAGGGACCCCCGAAGATTCGTGGTCTTGCTCCATGTGTCTACCTTTTTTATATCTGTCTTTCGGACACGGAAAGATTCGTGGTCTTGCTCCATGTGTTGATCTTCATTGTGTCTTTCTACTGGACCCCCAAAGATTCGTGGTCTTGCTCCATGTGTTTATCATTTGTATATTTTTCTATCGGACCCCCAAAGATTCGTGGTCTTGCTCCATGTGTCTATCCTTTTTGTATTTTTCTATTGGACCCCCAAAGATTCGTGGTCTTGCTCCATGTTCTATCCTTATCATTTTGATATTTTTCTATTGGAGCCCCAAAGGTTCGCGGTCTTGCTCCATGTGTGTATTTTTTGAAATTACATTTTTTCTAAGGGACCCCCAAAGATTCATGTAGTCTTCCTTTCGGTTTCCCATTAAACACCCATGTGAAGAAACTATTCCATACCCTCACTTGAGGTCAGAAAAAAGAAGAAGAAACACACGCTTGGTGGGGTCTTCCCACCTACAATACTTAAACTAGTCCCTACAAATCCAGAAAGGGGAGGTGAGGGGTCAAAACTCGTCACAGCGTCTCTCCACTTGGATTTTACAACTCGAACATTTCAAAGTTGTTTCCCACGTCGGCATGAAACAAGGAAGTGGAAGTTCCCGCCCAGGCGAGCATGTCCAAACATCAACCAATGCATCAACTTGTATCAAGGTTTCCCGGTTGCCTTTGCTTCCATTTGGGCTTTCGCCCCCTGGAAAAAATGAGAATATGAGCACTGAAATCGATTCCCTTCAACAACCAGGGCAAAATAAAAGATATTCTTGAGCAAATGGAAGCTTATAGTGAAGGCCAGCGCCTGCCCCGTTTTTGGACTTTTCCTGGGCCTGTTCTCCAGATTTCAGGTTTCATACTGGCTTGCTGAGTTGAAACAGGTCCCCCACTGTTCACCTCTCGGCATGTCTTCTTAAAGAGGTGATCAGTACCTGCGCATTCCAAGCAGCACCCTCCCAGAAGCGGTTCTTACCTGCTTAGAAGCAGGGTCTTAGGAAGGTTCTGAGAAACTTTTCTCCCGGGACATGGGAACATTAGCGTTCTCGTCCCACAGCGATTTTGGAGAAATGAATGTGAACTCTCCCATGTCCGTTTCGAATGAATCATGAACTTGTGTTGGACAAAGTCCGTCACAAACAGGAAACCAACCAAACAACCTGCTATTTGGCCTGGCTCTTGTTGCTTCCATTGTTTATTTGGAGCCCTCTACTGCCTGACTCCTTGGCTAGTCTCTCAAGTAGAAGCTTGCCGAATGGGTGTCTTTCTTGATACCCCTTTGGCTTTGAACGGAGACCAAAAGGAATACCGCCATTTTGGGGGGGAGATCCAACCTTAAGAAAGACACCCCCGAATCCGTCGCACGCGTGTTTTTCTTCTTCTTCCAGCGCGCGTCGCTCTTTCCGGTCCCTTTCCTGGCGAGATCTCGCCAGCGCATCTCTATCCTGAGGTCGCATGGGAACCCGACCCAAACTTCAGGCCTGGAGCAATCCAAACATAGTTTAGTCTCCCACCAAACATGGAAGTGCACAGACCCCTGTACAAAGACTACTTTCCTCTAAAGGGCCTCTTTGCACTTCCATGTTAGTTGGTGGGAGGGTAGGTGTTTGAATTCGGATTGTTGCAAACACGGATTTTGAGCTACCTGATAATCCGACATTCACCATGTTCAAAACAAACAAGACATCTGATAGCCATCATGCTGTTTGAATGCCAGATTTGCTTGCCCAGTGGGGGAATGGCAAAACATGCAAAGCTAGCGCAAAGGGCGAATAAGGAAGCGAGGAGCAAACGAGAATGGGGATGGGGTGATGGGGTGAGCGTGGAAAGGTAGTCACAGGGTGTTACCTGGCAACAGGGACTCAGGCAATTCCAGGGTGGGGAAAAACGTTGGGGCAAGTCATGGACACCAGCTACACGAAATTTGGAAGTTTGCCACATAGCCTCCAAAACCCAATGGTGTTGTCAAGCTTCCTGTAGAACATTATTTTTCAACACAAGCAAAGGATCCCCCAATTCCGTGGCAGGGAAAAAGGGAACATGGAACCAATGTAATTCCAGGGGCCACCTTCCTCCCCAATTACGAAATCCAAGGGGTCACAGATATCAAGGGTCTTGGCGAACTTCCCCTGGATGTTCCTGCGAAAGGGCCTAAAGAATGAGAATGTGTCTTCTTGTTTGGCAGCATTCCGTCATGAGTACGTCTAGGAGTAAATAATTAGAAATAATTAGTTGTTGTTGAGGCCCTTTACGCTCTTCTGGATGGTTTCAAGAAACACACATAAACTGAATGACTACACTGGGTCGGAGCTTGGAATCGTATGTGGGTGTGTGTTTAAATTGGGGCCCCCCCGACATGGTCTCTCACGGTTGGTTCTCTTTCAGACCGCACCAAAATGGGTACTAACCTCAAATCCCAACACACCCATGTAACCTCAAATCCGGTGTGGCTCAAAATTAAAGAGCTAGGGTTCCATCTACCGAGGAGCCATTTTGGTCCATGTGTTTGACCCACAGCCATGCGTTTTCTTGGCAAAACAACTCGCGCGCCCCAGGTAACATTTCGTTCACTCCGGGCATCTGATGCTGCGCCCAGCGCAAGGTCCCCACATCCAGCTGGTCCAGCGAGCGCGCAAAGGTGTCCGCAGCGCCACCCTCCTCGCTTCGAAACCGAAACGAAACGAAGAGATGGCCGCTGAGGGTTCGCAGGGTCTAAAGTCCAGGGTTGCGTGGCGAACTTCCTCGATATATGTTCCTGGAAATGGGTTCTTAGACTTCTGCCTGTTGTGGGTTTCCTTCCTGAGACACGAGATCCAAGCCCCTCCCCAAAACAACAAACAGATAGATCTGAATGATGACCCTCCACCAACCATCAGCTGATACCTATAGCGGCTTGCCTGCAGTGCCTGCAAGGCCACCTCCCATCAGCCCAAGCTGTGGTGGGGAGGCACAAGAAGCAAGGAACTTCCCTTTGGCGAGGACAAATGTGATATCACACAAAGAGACCCAAACCCAATGTAGGCAAACATAAGCTGAATTGATTGAATTGTATTGCCAAGCCTGCCAAGGCGTCACCCTTCCCATCACTCCCCAAACCCAAGCTCTCCCCCCCCACTCATTTATGATCCGATCCCTTTCGCTGGATTGTTCCAAAGACCTTGTCACAAAGAAATATTTCTTGGGCTGCGCTGGTCAAAGGGAGCAAAAGGAAGCCGTTTACCAATGGGTGCAGCTCGTTTTTTTCTTGTTGAGGGTACTCTTGTTTGGCGGTTGTTTCAAGGAAAACCAAAAGCAAAAAAGACCATTTGGGGGACGGGGCGGGGGGGGGGGGGCTTACAAGAAGGCACTCCTCATGTTAAAACGTGGCTTTGACCATCTTAGAACGGCCTCCGAAAGGATCCTCCACATGGCGCATCAACCGTCCCAAACAGGGAACGCTGCACATCCGATGGTCCAAAGCCAGAGGAAGTCGAGTTTTTACCCCCCCCCGTTGGAACAGACTCGCACAGAAAGTCAAGGCCCTCTTGCCCACGATGCTCTCATTATGATGTTCATTCCCTTTTGTTTCCATTGCTGCTATATTCATCGCACCATTGTCACTCATACTTGCTACACTATTCACTCTATTCAATTGAGGTTCAGTATAATTTTGGCAATGTCCTTTTTGGGGAACCCCAACCCCTCCTCAAACACGCCGACTGAAGAGGGTTTCAAGGAACCGATGGAAAGTTCGTCACTTGAAAACCAAAATGACACGGTTTACCTTCTACTCGCAGTCATTGCTCACTTCCAACGGGGGAGGGAATTGGTTGTTTTACCTGAAAGTTACACTTGTGTAAAATACCCCTGCATGTGACACCAAGGGGGCTGATTGGATTACTTCATTTCTTTAAGGTGGATTGCCTTGGACAAAAGCTGGCCCTAACCCCCAACTGTGAAACTGGTCCTAAACCTAAATCCGCTGCGTGCAAACCCGGGGGGGTCCGAAACTTAAACAAATACCCAACCCCATTTTCCCTTGGCAAAGCCAGCTTCTCCTGAAAGGATTGGCGCCAGCCCAGCAGCCCCCAGTCCCACCGGGATTCCCACTGGCCACCAAACAGACCCTCCACCAGCGAGAACCCCCCCTTCACATCACCACCCCCCCACATGAGGATCTTCGCCGCCGCCGACTCGACGTTTCCCCCCCCCCCCCTGCCGCCCCTTTTGCCAACATTCCCACGTTCCGACCTCTATCCATCCCCCACTCCACCCGCTCCACGCCTTGGTCAAGAAGTGCAGGGCCCGCTGGCAGCTCTGCTCCGTGAGCTGCGCCGAGAGCTCCTGCTGCGCCTTGACCCGCTGCTCCGCCGAAGCCTTCCGTGCCTCCAGCTCCAGCCGCTTCTCCTCAGCGCGCAGGACCGTTGACGCCGGCGCCGGTGTTGAGCACAAGCATCTTTGGTTGGCAGGAAAGCCAAGAGGAAACCCACCCATGTTTGTGATATTATTCTTTTTTGGGGGGGTGCGTGATTTGAGAAGGGCTAAAGACTCAACCCGAACTGGCCTTGTTCAGCTTTTCCCCTAGGCTTCAGCTCAAGTCATGGAAGGACTTTAGCAGAGCCTGCAGGGTTCAGGGAAAACCAGTTGTAAGGCTAGACATTGACCAAGGTTGGCTGCACTTTGGTTTCAGTGAATGGACCACGGCTCCGAAAAACTTGGACATGTGGGGTACTCCAAAACAATAAGTTCAGGTGCTGTTCTCACTTGGCCAGTGACCAGCCAAAAAAAAGTGCACACTTTTTGGGCCACCACTAAACTAAGGGGAGAGCCACCAAGGAAAAAGAAATGTAAAGTGTGTCCACTGGCTGGGTGAGTGTTTCAAAACCCATTGACATTTGGTTCTACCCCTCTGGTTCTATCAGCCTTTTTGTACGCCTTACCCATTCTAACCCATATGGCCATGGGTCAAAACCCAGATCGTACCCCCAGTGAACATCCCAATCCCCGCTAAAATGGGTTCTAAAATGGGTGGTGAATTCACCTACCCCAAAAAGGGATCCCATTGGTTTTGACCCACAGTTGCCCAAAGGACCTGGGACTAAAAGGTTAACCTTTTGGGGCCACGAAATATGGGCCAAAACAGGAAAGCCAAAAGGTCGAAAGCTTGGCTTTGGGCTGAGATATGAAGCCGTGGGCCGAACTTCCGGAGCTTTCTGCGCTCTCCCTAAAGTTCCCTGCAGAGCCGCAGCCGCCGATGGCAGCTTCGAGTGGCCGTTCGTGCCTTCACCTGGCTGAAAACTGTCCGCTCGTCTTCCTTGGGCGCTGTAGATCCCCCAGTAAAAGTTAAACACTTTTTGCTGGTCAAAAGGACATATTACGGGAATCCAAAAAGTTGAAGTCTAAAGATCCAACCCACTAGCAGTAGAGTTTGGTAAGTGCCCTCTATTTGACGGGGGGTTATGGTCAAAGAAGGGGACGTAGACAATCAAAGCTTCCGAGCTAGTGTCAAATCGCTGGTAGTTTTTTCCATGCGCGAAGCATCTTCCTTGTTTCTAGGGAACCGCCTCCAGTTTCAAGATTTCACCTCTGCTCCGATGTCGGGGCAAGTTGCGCGAAGCTTGGCCGTGACATTTGAGACAAAGAGAGCTGGGACAGAAGTCCATTGGCTTCTGCCATGTCGCGGGATAGACCCCCAAAAACGGCAAGAGCTTTGAGCCTGGATGGGCTAGGGAAACCACTTGCAAACAACCCATTTGGAGGTCCCCTAAAACCCAAGCCACCTCCGAGACATGAAAAAAGGAAGCCACATATCCACCAAATACCTGGGCTTTGGTTCACTTGTAGAACTGTAGAACATGAATGAATGCATGAATGAATGAATGAAAGAAAAATAAAGAAAGAAAGAAAGAAAGAAAGAAAGAAAAAAAAAAAAGAAAAAGAAACGAGAACCGAAGCCTCACAAATAGGAAAGCCACACCGCCCGTTCGGCTCGGGGATGCGCCGGGCTCGCGCGCCTCCGCCGCTCGTTCGCGCGGCTTCGCTGGGCAGTGCCAGCTGGAGCTTGAGCTCTAGGGCGCGGGCACGCCAGAAAGTCACCTCCTCCAGGTACCTAACGTCCATTTGCAAAATAAATAAAACAAAACCTGGGAACAGTAAGCTCGGTCTTATAGTAGAGAGGTTAGAATAAGGGTACCTTTTTTTTTCTGCAGTCTATTTAAGTAGGGGAACCCTCCCCCAAGAAAGGGAAAAAGGGCACTACCGGGGGACCGAGGGAAAGCATAATTCCTGCGGTGAAATGCGGGCCAAACAAAGAAGATTGCGATCACCTTTTGGGGCCAATACAATCGGTCGCCAAGGGGAAACCAAAAGAAAGGTGGATTCGCTTGGGGCAAGTTAGTTCCACCCTCCGTGTTTGATCTAGTCTTTCCAACAAGGTGTGTTTGGGGCTGGCCTTGCTTGATGGCTCTTGCTCCCTGCCCCAAAGGCGCGGAACTGTATGACTCAATGGCATTCACACGTTGGATCAATCGTCCGAAGCTAACAAGAAGGTTGCTATTGACTCCTCTGCACAACTGTTTAACTGTTTGTGGGTTCAATGGAACATCCCCCTGTTTCCCAAACTCCAAAGATCCAACCAAACTTCCATAAATATATTAATGTCCATTGAGGCACCTTAGGGAATTCTCAATTGAAAAGATATGAGAGTAAATGAGCGCCAAACAAGCCCTACGCGTGTGGGGTGAAATCTGTGATTTTGTGCTGAGCCTTTGCCAAAAGCATTGTGAGTGTCACAGCTAGAGTCTGGAACACATTGAAGACTTACCCATCCCCTTTGGCTTCCTGTTGAGAATTTAACACCCAGCTTCCTTATAGCCTCCAGTTGCTGACTCCACCCCACCGAGCGGTTCTACAACTTGGCTTGTCCGTTTCCTCTTCCAGGGGGTATCGTTTTTCTGAGAGTCCCCTATCGTACACCGAATACTAAACTCAACAGAAGTAATTTTGACGGTACTTCAAATGCAAACCCAACCACTAAACCAATTAAAAAGCTAAACCGCTACCTCCATTTGCTCAAGTCCCCTGGAAGAAACAATAAAAGATGTCCAGTAGATATAGATTCCCTTTAAAACCAACAGGGGGAGCAAAAACAAACACTTAACCAAAGCTATACGGCTAGGGAACTCGGCTGGGAGACACCAAAGATAGTCTCTAGGTCCTCCAGAGAGGTTAGAACAAGGCTACCAACTTTTTTCTGGTTTGTCTATTTTAGTAGGGGAACCCTCCCCCAAAAAAGGGGTAAAAGGGCAGCGATTGCTGGGTGACCTAGCAACAAAAAAGCTAAAACGCTAGGGGAATGGCTGGGAGACACCAAGTCTGCATCCCAGGGTGCTGCTCGTTGAGATTCCTCAGCCTGTGCTTCACATCTGCCAGCTCCCTTTTGAGCTTTGCGTTCTCCTCCATCACATGGCCCTTCAGTCGACGTGGCCCCGGGCACTTGCCTGAAACACAAAGCCGCTACCTGAGCCAAACCGGCTGTGAGGTTCACCTAAAATCACTTCAAGCATACACGCGCCGATGCATGCTGCTCCTCATTTTTTGTTCATGCACAAATTATCGACAACAGAATGTGCGACGAGCACGCACTCCATGATTACAGGTCCTACGTGCAGCTTCGCATAGCTTCATATTAGCATTCAGCTTGTAGCTCTATCTTTCCCTGTGGGCCCGTCCTAACCATGGACCCCCCTTTCAACCAGGCAAAGTCAGGGATAGCCCCACCTTGGACGGCTGCTTCTTGAACCCACATCTGGGTTTCCACACATGATGGTCGCGTTGGGCAATGCAAATCCTGGGCACGGCGGAAAGGCGTGGCTTCAGCTGGGAGCTTCTGGTCGGTGTCAATGGGTCAACCAACTGTTGGGTCCCACATTCTGCGAAAGAACTGATTGATTGATGTTGTGTAGAAATAATCCAACTTGGGGCTCTGGGGATCGTCAACCAAGAAATCAACCGATGTCTTGTAAAGAATCCGCTTGGAATTCTGTTGAGTCTCCCCCGCCCAAAAAACCAACCCGTGGCCAACTTTGGCGAAGCTCTTAACTTGAGAGGCTGGAGTTTCGCGTGGCAATGCACGGCGAATTTCAATCCCACAGGTGGCTGCGGGTCAAAATTAGGTACCCAAAAGTGGGGCCCTGGTAAATGGAACCAAGGACTAAACCCTGCGGTCCCCTAGTGGTTTAGTTTTGAGCCATACCCATGCCATTTTCTGGAGCTCCAAACAAAAAACAACTTGAGGGACCCCTTGTATCCAACCACGACGCCAGCTGAGCCCGGTGCAGAGCTTTGGATGTCCAGCAAAAGCTGTCTGAAGGAAAACCCCTAAAACAGAAGGAAACCCACTTGAGCGCCCAAAACCCATTTGCATTTGGTTCCAAGATGGCCAAATCGGGTTTTATATAGGCCTTAAACAACCCCCATGAGACCAGGCAGGTGGATTTTAGATTCGCGCAGCTCACTCGTTGACTTCTTAAGCTCAGCGAGCGGCGCTTGCCTTTCTTGCCCAAGCCCAGCAGCACGGCCGCAGTTCCATAGGCCTGCCGCACTTCCAGGACTTCCCGACTGCTCATCTCATTTTTGTGACGGTGTGCCAGGGTGCCAAGGCAAACCACCTACTTTTCTAGGTCCAGTTGACGGTGTGCCATATGGGGTGCCAACAAGTGAAGTCAGCTACGTGAACTGGCCCAAAGAATGCTTCCTTCCCACAAGGCTGCCTCACGGCGTGCTGTTCAACAGGAAGAGCAAGTAAACCAGGTAGAACAGGAACGCACCAGGCAAGGGAGCATCAAAGTCAATGGTGAGGTTCCAGGCGGTGTAAGCAACTGCCTCCGACGAGCTCGAAACCTGATTCCCACCTTCCTTTGCCTGGGATCTGCGTATCAGCCTGATTGCTCTTTTTTCACGGGTGGACATCTCATCAACCTGTTAGTAAACTTGGGCTGGAGATCCTGAGTGCCATGAGCACGGCCCACAAAACACGAGCTTTTGACGACTCCAAATCCGCTGGCAAAATAACTTTTCGTTTACCACCAAAATGGTCCAGACCCCACAGTTATTGTCCAGGAACTCAGGAAGTGAGACAAACAGTTTTTATTTCCAGGGACTCAGCCGGGAGAGTTCATCTATGTCGCATCTGGCAGACCCTGATTGGCTTTTAGGCACAGGAATCGCTTTTTGCTGCTCCCCTGACCGTCACCTGAGCCTACTTTAAATTCGTCAGGAAACCTGCACCTGCCAAGTGTGTGGTTCTAAGGGATACCCTTTTGATCTGGGCTTCGTCAGGGAGCCAAAAGGAAACCGCCCAACTGAGTCCGAATCCCCAATCTATTGACGAGCGCGTGCGTAGAAGCTCCCGACTGGGCGCCTGTCCAATGGCGATGGTTTGGATGTCCGGCTTGATGTACCTCGGATGGGAACCGAATCTGAGGAAAAAGGGCCACAGTTGACAACGTGGTCAGTGAAGAAACCGAGGGTTTGAGATTCCAAGATCACCAACAGTGCAACAGGAATGCGTTGTCGCTGCAAGTACACAACAATATCTTTGCGGATCAGCACTGTTGGGCTCAAAAACAAACGCCGCAGTGGCAGCAAAAGCTAGAGATTGGCAGGGGCCTCACCAAAATCCGGGAGCTATACTCAAAGGCAAAGCAACTCTTAGGTCGGGGGAATCGCCACGGTGGCCTCAGTATTTCAACAAATAAAAAATGGCTGGACAAAAACAACATGTGTCATTGCACGGGCGGTCCGGCAACTTGACACTTAGTTTACTTAAGCAACCAACTAATATTCGCATTTACTGAACATTGCTCAATCCCTGTTTGTCAGCACCCGACGATCTCCATGAACAGCCAGCCATCTTTGTACAGCGGTGAATATGCAGGCCTTGTGGAGGGGGTGTAAAACACACCGATCCTCGTTGGGATCGTGATGTGCACTTGAAAGGGGTGTCCCAAAAGCAGTTACTGCAGTCACAGCAATATATAGTTTGATGGTGCTATATTCATGACCCCCGCGGTACTTTTAGTGTACCCAGTATGAAACTCCACATGGGGGTTGATCAAGAGGTCCTTTACATGGGATCACCAGTGGGGGAAACCAGGAAAACACAGATGGGGAAAAGTTGCCTATGGTCATTCGGGGGCCAAAGGGAATATGGATCAACCTCCGTATGGTAACCCCGTCACTTGTGAACGGAGCCTGTGTCCCCAGCCCCATACAATCCGCGATGGCGAAGGCGTCCGTCTCCATGCCCACCTTGGACTCCCCGATGTACCTCCGAACTGAGCCGGACTGCACAACAAATCGTTTCACTAAGGTTGGCCCCCAGACTTCCAGTACGCATCCATGCGGAAAAGGGCACGCTTTTCTTTTGCTACTTGATTCTACAGGGCAACATCTCTGAACAAGGAGGGGGCACCCACTGAAGGCCTGGGTTTACCTATTTGCGCCCCAAACGTTGTTCTCCTGTTTTTGCTCACCGAGGATTGGTTCGCAACCCAAGTCTCAAGACCAGAAACTGGGCGGGGGAGGGTCCAGGCGTGTGCGCGACCCAGACTTGAGTCCAGCAATTTGGTGAGTAGATTCGGAACAGCCTTGTCGTCCCCTACAGTAGCAGATGGTAAATGCTTACCATTGTGACCATTGGTTTGCCGTCCAAAGTGCATATATCCACATCTATGTGTGCTTGTTTTTAATAGCGGTGGGTGTCGTTCCCTGAAACGCAATCTATGGGAACAAGCTTCGCAATGTCCATCGCGGAGCTTTTGCGGGCAATTTTCACAACATTCATTACAAAAGAAGTACGCGAGGTACACTCGCGGATTCTGCTCCAAACGTTACGA